AATGAAAGTTTTAGCTGACGTAGTTGAAGGAAATTCCACAAAAATTCAAAAAAAACAAACCAACATCCCCCCCAAAAAAACAGTAAAACCACCTGCGTCCCTATCTCTACACATCTGAGCCATCTTCTCCCCTACCAGAGTCTATGAACAAAACCAGAGATTCTCACTGCTGTCCATCTCCTAGATCCACTGCTTCACTTTTCTAGAACAGACTCCACCTGGTGTCCCACGTCCGGCTGCGGCCAGCACAGCACGCAGAGCTCAAGCAAACCAACAGCAGTGCCTTCTCAGTGGGCAGCAGGGCGTGAGGGGAGCCTCAGAGGGGATTCGTGGTCTGCGTCTAAGGCCCATATCTGCAAGCGGCTCATACAGTGGCTAAGGAGGTGGCCCTGGAGCCCAAGCACCTGGGGCCACCCCAGCTGCCCCCCAACTCCCCAGCAGCCTGTCCATGCACTCACCACTCAGCCTCCCGCACGTCTTATTTATAAAATGAAAAGAGGGTCTAATTCTCAATGAGCAAAGATCACTAAAAGGCCTCCTTCCAAGTAACTAAGGCAAAAGCAAAGAGGGACAGAGCCGCTCCCTGCAGAGCTGAACACCCGCGTGGAGAAGTCCCTTTCACTCAGCGTCCACGGGGAAGACCAGCTCAACTGTGCTCCAGGTGGAGGCCGCGACACTGGAGGGGGAGGCAGCAGCTAGGATACTAAAGGGCACGGGCAGAGAGGGGTTCTGGTGTTACGGATACAAGAACTGCAAAGCCGTCTAACAAATGAGAGGAGCTGGGCAACCCCACTCAGTGTCTGGGGAAGGGTAGCGCACCCAGCGCCACGTCCAACACACAGAAGAGACACGTGTGGAGACACGAGGCAGGGGGGCGTCCGGCCTGGCACCGCCCAGTCGTGCCGCTTTAGGGTACCAGAACGGTGCGATCTCTCCATGTGCACGGTGTCATCTCCCCCCACACGCGCTGTGCCATCACCACCCCGGTCTTACAGACAAGGACAGCTAAGAGAATTACAGCAGACAGACAGACAAGGCCAGGTCCAGGGGCTGCACTCTCAACATCACAGCAACAACACAGTCTTGACCCAAACAGATTTTAAAGCAATTTTTGTCCCACACTTGAAGAAAAACAGAACCAAACCTATGTGATTTCAGATGTCACAGAGCTCAGAGTGTAATGTGGGGTGGGGAGAGAGACACGGAGTATTCTGGAGCTATCAGAGGGGTACAGAGACCAGTACGACGTCAGCAAAGACTGTGCTACGGTACGAGGCTGCCAGCTGGATAACTGGGGAAACTAAACCAAAAGTCTACGAATTTTCAGTCTAATCCCCACCCCTGGTATCTATCAGCACCCACCAAATCTCTTTAGGGGCAAGTGGCTCTAAGCTCACCAAGACCCCGAGTGAGGGCTTTGTTTCTGACTAAGGCAGAGAGACAAGGAGGTCTCCGACGGCTTCCTTAGTCTCAGACTCCACGGGCTCGCTGGCCAAAGCCAGCCCTCCCTATTTCTCAGTGCCAGGAGCTCCACGTCCCTGAGAGGGTGGTCTTCCTGGTAAAATACGGATTTCTCCCTGTGACACACAGCAGCATTTCCTTGGAAACAGAACACTCCTCAGAGGTCACTAAGGTGCACCAGACACTTCAGCCGCACTGTATGTGTCGGGCAGTGATCGTCTGGCAGACCTCGCACTCCACTGAACTCAGCAGCACGGGCACTGTTCCTGGTGCTGGAAACCGGCCGTGCTCAGGGCACACTAGAGGGCGCCCGAGAGCCCCCACTTCCAGAGCCCGGGGCTGCAAGGTGAGGAGGGGGCCAAAATCAAGGGAAGCGTGTGAGAAAACCGGGGCAGACCAGGGCAGGACCCTCTGCCAGTGTCAGAGTTCTGACCAGGCCTTCCTATGAAGGCGGCACAGTGGGAACACAGGCGCCCTGACACCTGCACTAGGCACCCCTCACCCGACACACGTGACCAAGGACTCACACCAGCCTGACCACGCGGGGCGGCAGGGAGGCAGGGTTACCGCTGCAAACCAGAAGGCCAAAGCTCCGAAGTGCCTGCTGTGCCTCTAAGTGGTCAGACAGTCTGAAACCCTGTGCTGAAGGGGCCGGCGCCGGCACAGCAGGCAAGGCAATGCCGGCATCCCGTGTGGGTGCTGAGTGTGGGTGCTGGTTCGTGTCTGGGCTGCTCCACCTCCAGCTCCCTGCTGTGGCTGGGACAGCGGGGAGGATGGCCCAAGTCCTTGGGCTCCTGCACTCACACGGGGGCCCCAGAAGAAGCTCCTGGCTCCTGCCCGGCCCGGCCCCAGCTGTTGCAGGCATTTAGAGGGTGAACCAGCAGGTGGGAGACCTCGCTCTGACTTTCAAATAAATAAGTCTTAAAAGCAAACCCTTGTGTTGAAACTGCACACTGTAGCTTATGCCAACACCAGGCCACACGCAGCTCCACCCCGAGGCAGGCTTCCGCCGGCAAACCTCCCAGTCTGCTCTCCGCTCTCGCGTGCTTACTTCACCACACTCACTCTGCGGAGACCTAGTGGGAGAACCGGAGCCCACGGGTCTTAAAAGCTGAGTTTCTGAGTCCACTGGGACACCCCAGTCTTTCAGTTCTAACACCCAATGTGCGTCTCAAAAACCAGGCAAGGGAGGCAAAGCCCCGTGCCACACACAGAGGAACAGAGAAGCCAATCCGGGATGTCAACAGGACGGAAACGGTTCTTAGAAAGGAGAGCAGTGCGGTGGAACGGCGACCTTGGGGTTGGAAGTGACCTCCGAGATCCACCTGTGGTGTCCTGGAGAGAAGACAGCGCGGGCCCCGCCCACGCCACATGCAGCGACAGAGCAGGGCCCTTCACCATCTCCAGCGACACTCAACAGTCGGAGCGTTTTCCGTGCGCCCAGAGGGTGCCCGCACGCGACACTGTGACCAAACTGGCTCGGGGGTCCTTCTGGCGCCCAAAACGCAGCGGGGGACCGCGCACCTGGAGAGCAGAGTTCCCTTCCGCGAGACCACGCAGCCGAGCGACTGCCAAGGCCCCTCTGCAGCTCACCGGGCCAAGCAGGCGGCGCTGCCACGACTCACAAAAATAAAGCCGGGGCCGTCTTTACAGATGGATCCTCTCTTGCATGGCTTTAAAATAGCAAAATCCTGTAACGCATGGAAAATAAGACGTGCAGCAGTAAAATCTGGGAACACGTGTGTGCGCCCTCGGAGACCACGTGGAACTCGGAGCCCGCCAACAGTTAAGGGAGGCGGTCAGGGCCGGTCAGGGCCACCTTCCCCCCAGCTGACGCCTCTCCATCTCCCAGGAGCACGAAGCTCGAGAGCCCAGGTGGAGCAGAACTACACAGAACCGCTGGCTCCGGGGGCCACCGCGAGGGCGGGCTCGGGACAGAGCCTGCGCCTCCACAGGCAGCACCTGCCTCCTAACCCACCGGCTACTCCCAGCTACCGTGCAGTGACTTCGTCTTGTGTTCTTACGGCAAGTAAAGCCACTTTTTACACCAAGCTAAGTCCCTAAGACCACACTGTTTTCCCAGAAAATAACTAAAAAAAAAAAATCAGGGTGAAAAAGTTACATCTTAGAGTTACATCTTAACCACGAAACGAGCGCGTCTCTCCTGCCGGCGCTGAGCCTGCGAGCGAGTGGCCACAGGCAGGTGGACGCGCCGGGAAGGAGGCCTCCCACCCCGAGCTGGGCTCTCAGGAGCCGCGTCGGAGAACGGAGGCACAGCCGGCTCCTGCGTGGGCCAGCGGCTCGCAAGGCAAAGGTGTCGCTGGGGGTCGGGACGCCGCTCCGATGCCACCCACGCCAAATCTGTCCGCGCGGCCACGCAGCCCCGCAAGGGAAAACCGTCCTCAGCCGCAGACCTGTGCGGCCCAGGGGTCAGCACAGGCCGACCCCGGACGCCCTCCCGCGGGCACCTGCCGCCCACCTCCTCCGCGGGGGGTGAAGTCTGGCTTCAGAAACAAGCCCAGCTCTCCTCGCCCGGGCTCAGCGAACACCGCTCACTCCACACCGAGCTGCAACAGCCGCGCCTGAAGCCACACAGCGTGGACAGCCCGGCGTCTAGCCCCGACTCCGAGCTGGCCAGTCTGGAACCAAGGATGAGCCCCGCCTCCCCGGCGCTGGGCACACCGGCTCCCGGAGGCGCCGGCCTGGGAACCCGGGGCCGCAGCAGCGCGCAGGCTGTCCAGCGGGGACCCCGGCCGGAGCGCGCAGCGCGCACCTGCGGCTCGGGCGGCTGAGCGGCCTCGCCCCCGCGCCGCCCCGGGCTAAAGGGCCTGCGCCCCTCGGCGAGGGTCAGGTCCCCGCGGCGCCTCACCACGAACTGCAGGCGCGCTGCCCAGCTCCGCGCCGGCCACCGGCCCCGTCGGCGCACCTGCTTCCCCGGCCCGCACTCCGGCGCGGCGGCCCCCGCCCGGCCAGCGCCCCGCCGTCCAGGAGCCCGAGCGGGGACACGGCGCGCCACCTGCTCCGCCGGCGGGACCGCGGCGACCCCGGGGGACACAGCGCCCCGCGGGCCGCGGCAGCCGGGCTGGGGGGGGGCGCCATGGGCAGGGGGCGGCCGCGCGCGGGGGCGCCTCGGGAGGGAGGCGCTCGCCGCCACGCAACAGCGGCAGGGCCGCGCCGCAGATTGGGCGAGCCGGCGCCCGGCCGCCCATTGGAGAGGAGGGAGAGCGGAGTCCCCCAATCGCGAGCGGCGCGGCGGCTCCCCTCGCGCGGCCGCGGCCCGGCCCGCCGCGGCCCGGAGGCCGCTACCGCTCCCTTCCGGCCGCGGCCACCACTGCAGGCCGCCGGGCCGCGCGCCCGCCCCGGCCCGGCCCGGCCCGCGCGCCCCCGCCCCTGCCCGACTCACCGGCCGCCGCGCCGCGGGGGTGGGGGAGGCCCGCGCCGCCGGGCCCCGCGCTCGTCCGCCTCTTCTCCCCCCCCCCGCCGACAAGAATTAATCACCAAAAAATAATTCCTCAGAAAAATGGAGAGTAAAATCCAAGATGGCGGCGCGGACGCAGCACCGCCCGCTCCATCCGCTGCCGGGAAAAAGAAGTCCCCGCCGCCGCCGCCGCCGCCGCGCCCCCGCCCCCACCCGCCGCCGCCGCCGCCGCCGCGCCCCCCGCCCGCGCCCCCGCCCGGCCCCGCCGCCGCTCCCGGGCGCCCCCGCCCCCGGGCCTGTACCTCCGCCTCGCGCGCGGCCGCGGCGTCCGGAAGCTGTCCGCCGCTGCGGGGCTGCGCGTCCCGGGTCCTCGCGCGCGCCGTGCCGCCGCCGCTGCCCGGGCGCCCTCGCCTCACCGCCCCGGAGCCTCGCCGGCCGCACCGCAGACGCGTCGCCGCCCCCGGTGAGCCACCGGACGCCGCCCGGGACCGGTGGAAGGACACGAAAAGGAGTGCGCGGACACCCGACGGCGGAGGGACACCGCGCCACCAGCGCAGCGCCGGCCGCCCCGCGGCGGCTCCGACGGGCCTCCGGGCGCGGGGCAGCAACGCCGGAGAGGAACAAGGCCCGCACCGGGCGCTCCCGGGGGCGGGCGCATCCAACGCGGGTTTCGCGAGCTCGGGCCGCGTCGTTGCCGTCGCTTCGGCTCGCGGCGGAGGGATCGCGGCCGGGACGGCGGCGGCAGGGATCCCTCCGCCCCTCGCTGCCCTTTAAATCGCGGCTGGAGGCGGCGCCGCCGAGCGCCTCGCGGGCGCCCCCTAGGCGCGAGGGGCTGCGGTGCGTGGAGCCCGCGGGGCCGCGGCCCCCGGCGCACCTGCGCCCACCCGGGACCGCTCCCGAGCGGGGCCGGCCCGCGCCTCCCGCCGGCGCCGGGGCAGGCGGCCGCGGAACGGGAGTCTCTTTGTTGTGGGGCTGCGGTGTGGCCGCGGGGCACACGCGCGCTGGTGGCCCGTGCGGGCGGACCGAGGGGAGCCCCGCCGCGTGTGCGGCGGAGACGCGGCCCCTTGTCCGGGAGCCCGGGCGTCGCCCCACGCTCTGGGTCTTGCCATCTGCGAGTGAGGGGCACCAGTAGGAACACGGGGAGCAGCGCGTGTCCAGCCCGTGGCCGCGCTCGGGGTGCAGCCGCGGGGACCGGTGTCCGCCCAGGGAAACTGAGGCACGGAGAGGTTCCCATAAAGGCGGTGCCTGGGGCCTGCGAGGAGGCGTTGGGGTGGCCGCGGGTGTGCAGGTGCATGGAGCCTGTCAGGGAAGGGGGTCGTTAGGGAATGGACGCGGGACCCTCTGCAGCAAAGGACAGGGAGGGCGCCCTTGACCTTGGCCGGGGGACATCAGGCTGGCTGCCTGCTCCGCGGGGGAAACTGAGGCACGGTGGGGCAGGTGGGGGCAGCGCTGGGTTTGCAAAGCCGCGGCTCCTCCCACCGCCCTCACCTGTGGGGTCCGCGCCTCCTGCGGGGATCGGGCAGGGCCCGGGATCTTTCCTGCTCCCGGGAGGCCCACAGGCCCCCTCCTCCGGGCAGGGGCCTCGCAGGCGCCTGCTCTGTCTCCCCGGCTGCTGGTTTATCGTCCAGATCTCTGCAGTTTCGCAGGGCCGGGCTTCAGGACCGGGCTCACACCCCAGAGACCCGAGGCCGCCTGTGCCACCCCCGTGGCCGTGGGCCAATGCCCGTGGGAGGCCAGCACGCCTGGGAGACGCCCCTGCCTCGGGCACCCTTGGCCCCAGGCCCACCGTGGGCCACTGCCCGTGGGAGGACGCCCCTGCCTCGGGCACCCGTGGCCCCAGGCCCACCGTGGGCCACTGCCCGTGGGAGGACGCCCCTACCTCGGGCACCCGTGGCCCCAGGCCCACCTCTGGGTGCGCGGTGCCCAGGCCTGCCTGCGTCCAGCCACATCTGCACAGGGCTTCACGGGACCCCCTCGGGGACCCCTCAGACCGACACCAGGCCCGAGACGCCGGCCCGGAGGTTTCTTTCTGCCCAGTGCCAGGCTCAGGGTTCTAGGAGGTGCTGTGTGGGCCTGGCCGGGGAGACGGGTGAGCCCGCGTTCAGGCCCCTGGCTCGGGGTCCAGCCCTCCCCAGCCCCCGCACGGGGGCTGCGCTCCTCTTCAGCACAGATGCCTGGTGGGCTCCTGACCCAGGGACACCCAGCTGGGCAGAGGGCACAGCCGGGACGTGGGCCTCCCCGGGAAGCCTGGGACTTTGACTTCCAGACGGTGAGGTGAGCGAGGCCAGCTGGCGAGGGAGGGGGAGGGGGCAGGAAGTAGGTGGCCCGGCACCTGCCCAGGCCCACGTGACAGGAGCCGCAGGCATTTACACTGGGAAGCCTCTGCGTGGCTGAGGCCAGGGGCCCCCACCGGGCCTGGCCTGCTGGGCAGGGATTAACGGCTCCAAAGAAGGCTGGAGCTGGGGGAAGGGGCAGCAGCCCCAGAGCGTGCCCTCTGGCTGGGCCAGCGTCCGTTCCGTGTCCCCGGTAGGGGGCACCACCACCTGCCTCGCTCTCAAAGCCCCTCCAGCACGCCTGCTTGCTGGGATCCTGCGCCCAGCCGGGGGACAGGTCACTTCTCACTGTGAGCACCCCCCCCTGCCCCCGCCCGGAAGACAGGACTGTCCTGATGGGAGCAGGTGTCTGGAGCTGGGCACAAGGGGCCATCCTGGACCACATGCCCGGGCAGCACTGGCCCTGCGCCACCCCTGCCCCACCCCCACCGCCCTCCTGTGCCAGGTGAGGAGACGGCCTGGGTCAAGGGTCGGCAGCGGCCACTGCCGGGGTCTGACCGGGGTTTGAATCCCTGTGACGCGGGCGTCTGTCCCGTCCGTTCCCGCAGTGCCGGCCCGGGGCCTGCCCCAGGGGTCTCCTTCAGAGCGCAGGTTCCCGTCCCCAGCCGGGACCTCGCTGGACTTCAGGCAGCAGCGCTCGGTGTGCACCGGGCGTTTGGAGTACCGCGCGCCATGACAACCGCTGTCTCAGGGACCCCCTCTGCCCCTCAGCCCCCACCCCAAGTCCCCCGTTCCTGGTGACGGCTCGCTAGGGCCTGGCGGGGGGTTGGGGTGTGCCCTCAGGAGGAGGACCCTGGAGAGGGTCCTTGCAAAGCCCAGTGGGGTCGCCATCGCTCTGCTCGCCAGCTCGCCCCTGACCCTCCCGTGGACACGCCATGCCCTCCAGGGCCACCCGCTTCCGTCACTGGACTTGAACTTCCGAAACTGAGAGCTCCGTCGGCTGCCCCTGGCATTTCGTTGTAACAGCCGGAGGTGGCTGATGGGACATGTGGACTCCCGTGGCTTCCCCTCGGTGCCGGGCCGGGCTGGGGCATCTGGGGTTCCAGGCTGTGAGCTTCTCCCGGGCAGGGCGCTGAGTCTGGCTCACGGCGGCGCCTACAGCACCCAAACAGCCGTGGGCCCTGGTGAGTCCCGGAGGGAGGGCCGGGCCGGCCTCCCAGGACTGCTGCAGGGTGGGAGACCCCTCCCCACTCTGCCAGTGAGGCTTCTTAACCACCCAGCCCCGCAAGCTGTGGGGTTTGTGTGGGGAGGTGTCCCCTCCCCGGCAGTCAGGCCTGGTGTGGAGAAGGCCCCCCTGCCCCCGCAGTCAGGCCTGCTGTGGGGGAGGTGTGGGGAGGTGTGTCCCCTCCCACAGTCAGACCTGCTGTGGGGGAGGTGTGGGGAGGTGTCCCCCCCTCCCTGGGGCAGTCAGGCCTGCTGTGGGGGAGGTGTGGGGAGGTGCCCCCTCCCACAGTCAGGCCTGCTGTGGGGTTTGTGTGGGGAGGTGTCCCCTCCCCGGCAGTCAGGCCTGGTGTGGAGAGGTCCCCCCCGCCCCTGCAGTCAGGCCTGCTGTGGGGGAGGTGTGGGGAGGTGTGTCCCCTCCCACAGTCAGACCTGCTGTGGGGGAGGTGTGGGGAGGTGTCCCCCCTCCCCAGGGCAGTCAGGCCTGCTGTGGGGGAGGTGTGGGGAGGTGTGTCCCCTCCTACAGTCAGACCTGCTGTGGGGGAGGTGTGGGGAGGTGCCCCCTCCCACAGTCAGGCCTCTGTGGGGGAGGTGTGGGGAGGTGCCCCCTCCCACAGTGAGGCCTGCTGTGGGGTTTGTGTGGGGAGGTGTCCCCCCCCCGCAGTCAGGCCTGCTGTGGGGGAGGTGTGGGGAGGTGCCCCCTCCCACAGTCAGGCCTGCTGTGGGGGAGGTGTGGGGAGGTGTCCCCCCCTCCCTGGGGCAGTCAGGCCTGGTGTGGGGGAGGTGTGGGAAGGTGCCCCCCCCCGCAGTCAGGCCTCTGTGGGGTTTGGGTGGGGAGGTGCCCCCCCGCAGTCAGGCCTGCTGTGGGGGAGGTGTGGGGAGGTGTCCCCCCTCCCCAGGGCAGTCAGGCCTGCTGTGGGGGAGGTGTGGGGAGGTGCCCCCTCCCACAGTCAGGCCTCTGTGGGGTTTGTGTGGGGAGGTGCCCCTTCCCCACCCCACCCCCCGCCATCAGGCCTGGTTCTGGGTCCTGTGTACTTCCTGTTCCACATCCCCGCCCTGTCCCGCCACCTCCATGACAGGCGGGGAGGGGAGGCCTGGTGAGGTGCCTGAGGCCGGGAGACGGGACTGGAAGTCGGCGTGGATCACGGGTCTGCAGGCTGCGGAGGGCCGTCCTGCTGCGTGGTCCGATGGCCACGTGGGCCACGCAGCGCATGAGCCGGCCGGAAGCTTCCTCCCGCTCCTGCAGAGCCACGCTCGCCCGTAACCCCCACGGCCCCCTCGCAGTATCAGCAACAGGAGGATCGGGAGCTCACGTTTCTGACGCGTGAATTTGGGGGGACGCGCTCGAACTGCCGCTGGGGCCGGTAGGAGCCTGGCCTGGCTGTGACTTGCAGGCGTTGGAGAGCTGAACCAGCGGACGGCAGATCTCCCGCTGTGTCCGTCTCGGTCGCTCTGCCTTTCCAATAAATGAGAGCAAGTCACCTGCTAAACGTTTATGTGAGCCTTATGTTACAGGGGAAAGGCCAGAAACCAGGCCACGCAGATTGCGGGATTCCAGCTGCACGTACTCTGCACCCAACAGAGCCGCTGGCACCTTTCTCGTGAGGTGGGACCGTCTTGTTTGGGGGCTAATGACCTGACTGTGTGTTGTGAGAACTTTTTTTTAAGATTTACTTATTTTGGGGGCCGGCACTGTGGCGTAGCAGGGGCCGTGGCCTGCAGTGCAGGCATCCCATATGGGCGCTGGCTTGAGTCCCGGCTGCTCCACTTCCCATCCAGCTCTCTGCTGTGGCCTGGGAAAGCAGTGGACGATGGCCCAAGTGCTTGGACCCCTGCACCTGCATGGGAGACCTGGAAGAAGCTCTTGGTTCCTGGCTTCGGATCGGCACAGCTCCGACCGTTGTGGCCATCTGGGGAGTGAACCAACAGAGGGAAGACCTTTCTTTCTGTCTCTCCCTCTCACTGTCTGTGGCTCTACCTCTCAAATAAATAAATCTTTAAAAAAGAAAGGCCGGCACCATGGCTCAGTAGGCTAATCCTCCACCTTGCGGCGCCGGCACACTGGGTTCTAGTCCCGGTTGGGGCACCGGATTCTGTCCCGGTTGCCCCTCTTCCAGGCCAGCTCTCTGCTGTGGCCCGGGAGTGCAGTGGAGGATGGCCCAGGTGCTTGGGCCCTGCACCCCACGGGAGACCAGGATAACTACCTGGCTCCTGGCTTCGGATCAGCGTGGTGTGCAGGCCCCAGTGCGCCGGCCACGGCGGCCATTGGAGGGTGAATCAATGGCAAAGGAAGACCTTTCTCTCTGTCTCTCTCTCTCACTGTCCACTCTGCCTGTCAAAAAATAAAATAAAAATAAAGAAAAAAGATTTATTTATTTTGAAAGAGTTAGAGAGACAGAGACAGAGAGCTCCTCCATCCACTGGTTCACTCCCCAGATGGCCGAAATAGCCAGGGCTGGGCCAGGCTGAAGCCAGGAGCCAGGAGCTCCCTCCAGGTCTCCCCTGTGGGTGCAGGGGCCCAAGCGCTTGGGCATCTTCTGCTGCTTTCCCAGGCGGGGAGCTGGATGGGAAGTGGAGCAGCCGGGACGTGAACCAGCACCCGTATGGGAGGCCGGCATTGCAGATGGAGGTTTTACCGGCTGCGCCACAGCTCTGGCCAAATGAAAACTCTTAAGCTGTGCATCTGAGTTCTGTGTGAATTACTACATGCAAGTTATACCTGCAAAAATAAGAGGAGAAAATACGGAAAAAACCTGGATTTGCCTGGCTACTGCTCGATGGGCCTTCCGTTTCCTGTGACCTGACCGCGTGCGAGTGAGCTTGGCACACTGGTTCTTCCGCGGGTGTTTCCCAGGCGTTGCTCCCGGGACTGAGCCGGGTTCCAGGTGCAGGGGGGACACGGAAGGGTCTGCCCCTCAGTCAGGCACTTGCCGTGCCGTTGAAAGGAGAACAAGTCACTCCTGCTTCTCGTAGACCTGCTGGGGCCCCGTCACCGGGCGGGCCTCCCTGCCACGGGCCCCCGCGCCGCCTCCTGGCTGCTGCCTGGCCGGCACCAGACGGACGCCTCCAGCCAGTTCTGCGTTGACCTTGGTCTTCTCTGGCCAGGATATATGTGCATCCTGTGGAGTCAGCTTTTTTGTTCTGTTTCATAATCGCTCCTTCCTTGAGTCATAGCTCAGAGATGTCCTTGGGCTGTTGGCCCATCTGCTGGCAAAGGCCAAGTGTGGTGTCTCCCGAGTCAAAAGTTGAGACCATCCTTCCCCCACTCCCCAGAGATCTTTTTTGTTTGAAAGGCAGAGTAATGGAGAGGGAGAAACAGAAAGACATCTCCACCTGCTGGGTCACTCACACGGCCGCAGCGGCTGGGCTGGGACTCCATCTGGGTCCCCACGTGGGTGGCGCGGACCCGAGCATTTGAGTCCTGCCCTGTTGCCTCCCAGGGTGTGGATTAGTAGGAAGCTGAAACAGGGACGTCAGGGCTTGAACAGGGCCCTGGGGCGACTTTAACCATTGACCCAAACACCTGCCCCCGAAACGCTTGTCCGGGTTGTCTGTGCGGGTGTTTCTGGAAGAGAAGTGGACTGGGTGGGAAGCCCTGCCGTGACATGGGGGCGGCCGGCATTCAGTCTCCTGAGGGCCAGGTGAGAGTGCGGAGAGCCCTCGGCACAGACGTTCAGCAGGGCGAGGAAGGCCAGACGATGAGCTTCACCTCTGACCCTCTCCTGAGAACAGAGGAATGAGGTGCAGTGGGCCTGGCACCTGCAGTGCCGCCACCCCATATGGCGCTGGTTTGAGACTCCGCTCCTCCACTTCCGACCTAGCTCTCTGCTGTGGTCTGGGAAGGCTGTAAAAGACGGCCCAAGTCCTCGGGCCCCCGCAGCCGCGTGGGAGACCTGGAGGACACTCCTGGCTCCTGGCTTCAGATCAGCGCAGCTCTGGCCATTGCGGCCATTTGGGGAGTGAACCAGCAGATGGAAGACCTCTCTGTCTTTCAAATAAGTAAAATATATATTTTTTAATTTTTTTGACAGGCAGAGTGGACAGTGAGAGAGAGAGACAGAGAGAAAGGTCTTCCTTTTCCATTGGTTCACCCCCCAATGGCCACTGTGGCCGGCGCACCACGCTGATCCGATGGCAGGAGCCAGGTGCTTCTCCTGGTCTCCCATGGGGTGCAGGGCCCAAGCACTTGGGCCATCCTCCACTGCACTCCCTGGCCACAGCAGAGAGCTGGCCTGGAAGAGGGGCACCGAGACAGAACCGGCGCCCTGACCGGGACTAGAACCCGGTGTGCCAGCGCCGCAGGCGGAGGATTAGCCCAAGTAAAATAAATCTTAAAAAAAAAAAAAAAAAAAAAAAACAAAAAAAACAGCTGTGTCAGGCCTGAAGAGGGGGGAAGCCTGAAGCGTTACAATTTAGATGAACCCCGAGGACATGGTGCTGAGTGGAAAGTAGCCAGAAACGCAAGGCCGGAAGCTCCCTGACAACACGGGAGGCTCCCCGACAACACGCACCTGCATGGAGGGGCAGAGGCCGGGTTAACGGGGCCAGGACTCCGGCTTTGCCAGACGGACGAACACTGTGGGTGAGTGGTGGTGACGGCGGCGTCCCAGCATGGGTGGGTGCGGTGGCACTGACCTGCCTGCTCAGAAAGGAGGCAGTGGGGGCTGGTGTTTGTCTGCAGTGCCCAGGCCTGGGCCAGGCTAAAGCCTGAAATTCCATCCCAGCCTTTGATATGGGCGGCAGCGGCCCACGGGCTTAGCCCATCTGCTGCTGCCTTCCAGGCAGGGCCGCTGGGAGCCAGATTGGAAGTGGAGCAGCCAGGACCTGAACCAGCACCCTAAGGATGCTGGCATCGCAACAACTGGCGGCTTCGCCTGCCGCCCCCGTGCCACGCCCCTGCCCGGCACCCCGCACCCCGCACCCCCTCCCCACCTGCGATCCATCTTGCTGGTGTGCTCTGGAAGGCAGCAGTGGTGGCTCAAACGGAGGCGCAGGTGCGACAGGGCAAAGGAAGCCAGGAAACGGGGCGCACTAATGCTGCAGCCGCCGCCGCTGCTGCCGGCGACCGGTAGCTCGATCCTGCCGGGAACTTCTGGGCGACAGTGTGGGCTCTGCTTCAGCGTCGTCCCCACAGAGAGGGAAGAGAGCCCCGGTGTCGATACACCTGGGGTTGCCAACCGCTCAGCCTGCCAGGAATGCTGGCTGCAGCAGAGGGGGAGAGCCCTTGGGCTTGCAGTGGGCAGGGGACGGTGGGGGTGGGGCTGGCGCTGGGGCTGGCCGTGTGTGCTCCTGAGCAGATAAATGCCCTGCACCTCACCACGTGCAGTGCTGCTCCCCTCAACTGCTCATCCCACGGGCTGCACACGTGGCTTCCCCCCCCCCAGGGGCTGCACACGTGGCTTCCCCCCCCCCAGGGGCTGCACCGTCTCCCTGGAGGGCGCCTGTTTCCGGCTAGGCTCGCAGGGGGTGGACTCGGGCAGAGACGAGCATGCCGAGGTCCTGGGGAGGAGACGGGCGGACACAGAAGCAGGAGGAACCGAGGGAGAAGCTCGTCGGCTACAAGCGCCTGGGCCGGTCGGAAGGTGGGGAGGGGCGCCGAGCCTTCACGCCCGTCTGCCCGTCTGTCGCCGGGAGCCACTCCCGCAGCCAGGGTGACCTGCGGTGGGCAGCCCGTGTCAGGAAATGGACAAGTGGGGCCGGTGTTGTGCCGCAGCGGGGTAAGCTGTTGCCGCAACACCAGCGCCGTGTCCAAGTGCCAGTTTGAGTTCCAGCCGCTCTGCTTCTGATGCAGAACCGGCTCCTGCTCCTGGCAAGTAGCAGAAGATGGCCTGAACACCTGGGCAGCGCCACGCCTGTGGGAGGCCCCGACGAAGTTCCTGGCTCTCGGTCCAGACCTGGCTGTTGCAGCCATCTGGCGAGTAAACCAGTGGATGGAAGATTCTCATTCTCATTCTCTCTCTCTCTCTCTCTCACTGTGACTCTGCCTTTCAAATAAAAATAAACAAATCTTAAAAACACTCACACAGGGGGCCGGTGCCGTGGCTCACTTGGTTAATCCTCCGCCTGCGGCGCCGGCATCCCATATGGCGCTGGGTTCTAGTCCCGGTTGCTCCTCTTCCAGTCCAGCTCTCTGCTGTGGCCTGGGATAGCAGTGGAGGATGGCCCAAGTGCTTGAGCCCCTGCACCCACATGGGAGACCAGGAGGAAGCACCTGGCTCCTGGCTTCGGATCAGCGCAGCACCGGATGTAGCGGACATTTGGGGAGTGAACCAATGAAAGGAAGACCTTTCTCTGTCTCTCTCTCACTGTCTATAACTCTACCTGTCAAATAAAAATAAACCACACAGTTGCTAAATAAATAAATACCTATAAAACAACATCATGAGGTCATCCCCAAAATGTTGGAGACCGGAGGATCACGAATGAGGGGTAGAACAGTCTATACCATCATGGGGTCATCTGTGTCCACAGTCAGCCTGTCCAGGGGGGACGACGGAGGCAGAGGGCCGGGTTCTGTGTCGTGACGTAGCTGAAAGCACAGTAGATTGGACTCCAGCCCTTCTGTGGGTTCTGCCCACTCGTGACCCTCTCCTCTCCATCTGGGTCGTCTCCCATGTGAGTGCAGGGGCCAAGCACTGGGGCCGTCTCCCGCTGCCTTCTCCAGGCCATGAGCAGGGAGCTGGGCCAGAAGTGGAGCAGCTGAGACCTGCACTCGGCACATATGGGGTGCTGGCATCACAGGCAGTGGTGTCACCTGCCGTGCCACAAGGCTGTCCCCACCTTCTTGTCTTCATGACCATAACCCCAGCCTCAGTGGGTTGTCCACGGCGTGGTACGGTGGCTGCTGTGGTGGTCTGTGGCACTGACACGTCCACCTTAGATGCTGAGGCCAGTGCCAGGCTCTCCGAGCTGATGATGTGTGAGCTGTCTCCAGGGAGAGAAGAGCAGCCAGCAGGACGAGTAAGCACACAGGCCCCAAGGGGAGAGAGCTTGGTGTGTTCTCCAAGCAAGGGTCAGGAGGCCACGGAGGCTGGACGTGATGGGCAAGAGACGGAGAAACGGCGTCAGTTTTGCTAAAGCCTCTGGAGTCTATCCCAAGATTAACGAGAAGCCTGGAATGACACGACCCAGTTGTGTGTGGGGGTAACGTTTTAGTTTTATCTAATCCCAATGGTTGAAGATGACAAGACTGCTACAGGAAATTCGTATACACTCGTTATTCAAACGTCGTCTCATCCACAGTAGCGAGAGCGTTGCTCAAGTCTGAATCAGTGCTCCTGGGCAGACGCGGGGTTAGGCTTCCGTGAGCGATCAGCACATGTGTGCTTCTGTTAAAGCACCTTGTATCACACGTGTTGTTGGCGCATTAACACGGCATGCCAGCCAGACGGTGACTCACGCCTGGGGAAGCTCAGGTATCACACATTCTCTCCACAAGGCACAGCCCTTTGCCCGCCTCCACCCAGATACTGAAATCTAAAATCAGCTTCGTAATGAGTATCCCAGCTGAGCTTTTTTATACGGTGGCCCACATTTTATTTTAAAGACTTATTTAGTTATTTATTATTTGACAGGCAGAGTGAAAAAAGAAGAAAGACAAAGAGAGGGAGACAGGTCTTCCATTTCCTGGTTCATTCCCCAAATGGCCACAACAACCAGGGCCAGGCCAGGCCAAAGCCAGGGGCCAGGACCTCCATTGGGGTCTCCCATGTGCGTGGCAGGGGCCCAAGCACTTGGGCCATCTTCTTCTGCCTTCCCAGGTGCATTAGCAGGGAGCTGGATCGGAAGTGGAGCAGCTGGGACTAGAACCCTTGAACCGGAGCTCTGATAAGGGATGATGGTGTCAGCTGCTGTGACACGCCGGCACCAGCCTTCCTGACTGTACGAATGTCACACAGCACTTCAAGACTGCATGTGGGGCCATTTCAACGAACAAAAGCACAAAACTGAGCCACCTGGTGCTCACCAGGCTGTGAGGGGAGGAGGGCTGAGACTGAGGGTGGGTCGAGTGTCCCTGGGTCCCTGGTGACACTGTTCTCACCACTGCCTGAGAACGGGCTCAAATGCCCGCAGTGGACCGCAAGTCCTGATCGTGAAGTCACAAATAACTTATGTCCTGGGGCAAGCATTTGGCCTAGCGGTTGACCCCTGCTTAGAACAGCTGCCTTCCATCCTGGAGTCCTCCCCTCCTGCTGGCTCCAGCTTCCTGCCGGTGCAGACCCTGGGAGGCCGTGTTCCTGCTGCGCAGGTGCGAGCCCTGGGCTGAGTTCCCTGCCTCCCTCTCCTTCAGTCCCAGCCTTTGCAGGTGTCTGGGGAGTAAGCCAGAGGATGAGAGTGCTCGCTCTCTCTCTCTCGCTCTCTCTCTGTCTCTCTTTCATTAATTCAATAAGAATTTTAGCTAAAGGCAAATGCTCAATACAGAATCCAGGAAAAAAATGAGGATCAAGTGTGTGTGTGTGTGTGTGTACCTCAAAAAGTTTGTGGAAATGGAATTAAAAGGTAAATTTATTTTGATAAAAGATAAATTTTGACACCCATGTGTAGTTTTTTTTTTTTTGAAACACGCATTTCCACAGCCTCCTGTCTCCCTACCTGTCTGGTCTGAGTCACTGGAGAGCACGCTGGGGACAGCCTGTCGCGGTTTCAAAGACGCTGTCTCCAGCAACAACCACTGAGCACCCTCTCAAGGTCAGGACCGTGCGGGGACACCACGCTGTTGTCCGACCAGCCCAGCGGACACTGCAGGACCACGCCCAGGATCTAGTCGTGGGTCGTCTGGCTCCTCAGCCTTTGGTGTCTTTGGTGATCTTGCTTTGCGGAATGGCCTCGGGTTTGGGTTACCTGACGTCCCCCGTGATTAAAGGTATGCGTCTTGGCGAGAATATCCGGAAGTGCGGTGTCGACCCCCATGCGCGGTCTCAAGGGGCGCACGATGCCCTTTGTCCCAGTGCTGGTGGGGTCAGG